AGAGAAGCAAGTGTGTTGGATGTTGGATGTGACTGACTGAATAGATGTGCATACTGAAGGAAATGGCTCAGGCAGGTACATTAGCAGGGGCTGTCAGTGGAAACTTGACATGAAACTAGGTAGGAAAAACTTGCACTAAGATGGCCTGGGAATCACAGATAATAAAGGGGAAGAGCTGCCTCAAAACAAGGTAAAACAATGCCTTCCTTTCCACTGGTCTCTGGAGAAGGTTGCACAGGAGACCCTGATCACAAGAGCCTGGCTGAAGCCAGTGTGCTTAAACTTTTGCCCTCAGGAACAATAAAAGCAGCAATCTTATAACATGTCTAGTCCCATACATTATCAGTATGCAGTATTATCCAATATCAGTATCCAGTGCATGCTCTATTCAAGAGTCCCACTAACTTAGAAATGGAAAGTGCCAAAGGAAAATACACATATTTAAATCAACTAGTCCATCTGCCTAGGATGCTCAGTTTTACTTGTTAGAATAAGAGCAACTCCAAACTTCTGAAATGTTCCAGCTGCAGTTGATGACCAGGCTCCCACCTCAGGAATGGCAACAAGATCCCCAACATCCCATGTCACACATCCCTCATGAACCCATGCCTGTTCCTGGAAACTGCTTCCTGGGAGGCCAGACACTACCCAAATGGTATATGCAATGCTGGCATATACCAAAGCAGGAAGTTTTGCCCCTATCCTTTGGGCCAGTAAGCAGGGCTAGTTACTGAGTGGGAAGACACAGCATAAACTATAAGGAAGATAAATGAGTAAAAAAGGAATATTGACATTTCTTTCCTGTGCATTCTAGCTGCAGTGGTTCAGATGCTACAGTCATTAAAAAACGGAAAATTGAAGCAAAATATTGCAGAAATAACCTCTAGCAACCTGCCACCCCAGCAGGAAGTGCTGAGGGCTTTGGCTTTACTTCTGATTGAAAACAAAAATGAAATCAGTGAGGCCGTGACATTACTCCTGTCAACTACAGCAGAAAACAGGCACTTCAGAGAAAAGGTGAGTGACAGCCCTTACCTAATAGTGAAAACCACTTATGGTATCAGGGACTTATATAAGCCTGTTCACTTCTCTGTCTGTAGGTCTTCAAAATAACTTCTCAAAGTTTCATAGATTGTAGAGTCAGAAGGGACCCAATGGATCATCATGTCCGACCCCCTGCCCCTGGCAGGAAAGAGGACCGGGGTCAGACGCCCCCAGCCAGGTGATTGTCAAGCCTCCACTTGAAGACCTCCAAGTTAGGTGACAGCACCACCTCTCCCGGAAGCCCATTCCAGACTCTGGCCACCCTTCTTGTAAAAAAATTCTTCCTAATGTCTAACCTAAATCTACTCTCCACTACTTTGCACCCATTATTCCTAGTTACTCCCTGAGGTGCTCTGGAAAACAGCGCATTCCCAATTCCCTGCTGTCCTCCCCTAATAAATTTATAGGCGGCCACAAGGTCACCCCTCAGCCATCTTTTGTATAGGCTGAAGAGATCCAGATCTCTCAACCTCTCCTTGTATGGTCTTTCACGGAGACCACTAATCATGCGGGTGCCCCTCCTCTGAACCCTCTCCAGATTCTCCATGTCCCTCTTGAAGTGCGGCACCCAAAACTGGACGCAGTACTTCACCTGCGGCCTGATCAATGAGGCATTGAGGGGGAGCATCACCTCCCTTGATCTGTTGGTCATGCATCTGCTAATCTACGACAAGGTGCGACTGGGTTTGTTGATGGCCTCATTACACTGCCGGCTCATGTTCATCTTGGAGTCGACTATGACTCCAACATCTCTCTCAGCCTCTGAGCTGCTGAGGTCATCCTCCAACCTATAGGTGTGCTGGGGATTCCTCCTTCCTAGGTGGAGTACCTTACATTTATCTTTGTTGAATTTCATCCTATTACATTCTGCCCATTGATCTAACCAGTTCAGGTCAGTCTGTAACTGCTCCCTGCCCTCTGGTGTATTAACTTTGCCCAATAATTTGGTATCATCTGCAAACTTGGAGAGGGTGCTCAACACACCCTTGTCCAAATCACTAATGAAGATATTAAATAACACCAGTCCAAGGACCGAACCCTGCGGGACCCCACTACCCACCTCTTTCCAGGTTGAGAATGACCCATCCACCACCACTCTCTGGGTGTGGTCCCTAAGCCAGTTAGCCACCCACTTGACTGTAGGCATCCCCTCCACAGCCCGTTAGCTTCCCTATGAGACTAGGATAAAAAACAGTGTCGAAGGCCTTGCTAAAATCCAGGTAGATGACATCAGCCTCTGCTCCTGTGTCAAGGCAGTGTGTGACCTGGTCATAAAAGGCTATAAGGTTTGTCAGGCAGGATCTACCTGCGACGAACCAGTGCTGGTTTCCATGCAGCATCATTTCCCCTGCTGGGCTTTCACAAATATGCTCTTTGATGATTTTTTCTAGTATTTTCCCAAGGATAGAGGTAAGACTGACTGGCCTAAAGTTACCCGGCTCCTCTCTTCTCCCCTTCTTAAAAATGGGCACCATGTTAGCCTTTTCTCAGTCCTCAGGAACCTGTCTGGAGCACCATGAGAGCTCAAACAGCTGTGCCAGTGGCTCAGCAATGACACTAGCCAATTCCTTCAGCACCTATGGATGGAGGTCATCCGGGCTGGCTGACTTGTACCCATCCAGCCCTTCCAAGTGCTCTTTAACTAAGTCAGCACTAATCTTTAGCTGTCTGGTGCCTTTTGGATATCTGTCTATGTTCAAGGTTGGGAGATCGTCTTGGTCAGTATTAAGGAATACTGAAGCAAAGAACTCATTGAAGAGCTCTGCCTTTTTGTCCATATCAACCACCAACTGACCTGATTTGTTCTGCAGGGGCCCTATGCTACTCTGTGCCTTCTTTTTGCTCGCTGTGTATCTGTAAAAGTACTTTTTATTGTCCTTGACTGTTGTAGCCAGCCTAAGCTCCAGTCCTGCCTTGGCCTGCCTGACTCCCTGCAATAGTGTGCTAGGGTGGTATATGCCTCCTTGGTGGCTGCCCCCTGCTTCCACTGCCTATATAACTCTTTCTTTGCCCCCAGTCTTTCCTGAAGCTCCATGTTCAGCCAAGGGGGCTTTTTTATCCCCTTAGCCCCGTTCTTGTGTAAGGGGATAGACTCCTTTTGTGCTACAAGGATCACTCCCTTGAGAAACTTCCAACCCTCTTGGACCCCCATTAGCCCAATGCTCTTGAGTTCGGTCACCTCACTAACTAGGTTCCTAAGTTTAGTAAAGTTGGCCCTTCTGAAGTCTAAAACTCTAGCATCACTGGATATTTTTGTCACCCTTTGCTGGATAGTGAACTCTACCAAGTGGTGGTCACTATCACCCAGGTTACTGTGTACCCGCAGGTCGCCCACGAGATCATCCCCTGTTGCTAGGACCAGGTCTAGCAGGGCGCTACCCCTGGTGGGACTGGACACATCTGGGTTAGGTAGAGGTCCTGCACACAGTGTAAGAACCTCCTTGAGTGGCTTCTTTTGGCCGCCTGTTCCTCCCAGCTGATATCTGGGTAATTTAGGTCCCCCATGACCACTGCCTCCCTCACCTGTATGGCATCTGAAAGCTGCTTAGGGAATACCTCGTTTAGCTTGTCATCCTGGTGAGGAGGTCTGTAGTAGACCCCCACTACCAAGTCCTCCTCCCCTGGCCCCCCCTGGATCCTGACCCAAAATGTCTCGATATTCCCCTCCTCCACTCCTGCCTTGATGACAGAAGATGTGTACTGCTCCTTAACATAGAAAGCTACACCCCTGCCTTTTCTCCCCACTCTGTCTTGTCTATATAACCTGTATCTCAATGCCTACCACCCAGTCATGCGTAGAATCCCACCATGTTTCAGTTAAGCCGACTAGGTCATACTGCGCGCTAGCAAGCAGGAGTGCGAGTTCCTCCTGCTTGTTCCCCATACTCATGGCATTTGTGTAAAGACATTTTAGCCCCCCAGTGGGTGCTCTTGGTGTCCTTTTGCCTTGATGACATGTGTTCCCTTTAGTACTTACCTGGTTAGGTTCAGTGCCTTGTTTGTGGCTTTTCAACCCTGGGTTCACATCAACCACCAGTTCCCTGTCCCCCATCGAGCCTAGTTTAAAGCTCTTCAGAGATCAGCCAACCTGCAGGAGATGTTTGATATAGTCTGAAGAGGTGTTCCAAATATTTCTGTAGTTGTTCAGATCTGTTTCTAGAACAAATACCACATTAATATTCTGGGCACCAACAGAGGTTGTTTAGCTGTTTGGTTTTGCATTGTATGTTCCTGCCATATACCATATATGAGCATTATATAGGGGGAATGAGGTGAGTTGTTTCTGGGGTTTATCTTCAATAAACTCTTTCTAAACCATCACTCAAGCACTGCCACTGGGAAGAAGCTTGTGCAAAGAGAAGGGTGTAAAACTTCTAGCTTGGAAGGCGGTAAGATCTTAGCAGTCATCCTGATTCCTACAAGGGAGGAACTGCTGATGAGCAACCAAGAGTCAGCTTCACAGTTCTCAGTGAGAGGATCAAAAGAATTTAGATCAAAGATGTGATTTTAAATAAAACATGAGATTTAAGATTAAGGCTTTATAACTGCAACAGATAGGGTTGCAGTAAACCAGTGAATTAAGAAGGCAGAAAAACAGGGAGGGGGAGATGAATGACTTGTACCTGTACCTTGTACTTGTTTCCTGCTCCTCATACCTCTGGCGCCCTCAGCCACTGCCCCACTGAAAGCTGACTGCCCCACTCTGAGAAGAGAGGTAGACTAGGAGGAAGAAAAATGCGGGAATGAAGAAGGTTGCAAGACAAAGGATACATCTACACTGTGGTAGCAGAATATTTAGTCATGCTTTGGGGAAATAAATTCCATCCATCAGTTCTTGCTTCAGTCCTGGAAATGAGATGGTGTTGATGTCCTAAGGTGGGGTGATGCCCTTGGCACCACACTTAGGACTCTGGGATGTTCAAGTGATCTGGATTATACCCAGGGGACAGCGCTTCTGTGGTGTAGACATATCCAAAAGTTCCAAGTGTCAAAATTAATCTCCTTTGTTCATCCTGTCTCCATTTTTTTCCCTTCCAGTTGTTCAGTATCCCTGTGCTATCTGTCCCCACCCTCTGCTTGAAATGAGCGTCCCCTTCTCCTATTGCAAACTTGCTGAATTCATGTCTGGTTTGCAGCACTGGTGCCTGTATGAAAGCACCCTGGAAATCATTATGCAGCTGTCTGATGCTGAGATTTGCTGCTAACATTGACTACTGTTTGCTCAGCAGTAAAGGGCATTTCTCTACAAAGGAGCAGTAAATTCATGTAGCAGATGGGCTGGGTTTGCAGGAATCACTTCCAGTGCCTCTGCATTCTGGCTCAGTCTCAGGCAGGTGTCATGCAAAGTCATTACCATCTTAGAGCAGGGGTCAGCAACCTACTGTCCATGAGCAGGATCTGGCCTGTGGAGATACTGGATCCAGCCCTCAGCAGCTCATGGAATCAGCAGCACGTTCCAGGAAGGGCAGAAGAGGAGACATCCCCAGAGTCCTCGTGCCTGCCTTTTTCTATGTATTCCCCTCACAGCATCTGCTGAGGGCTGGGAGGGCTGAGCCTTCAGTAGGGAGCTGGATCATAAACAGCAGCTTGTGGTAGGAAAAAGGTTGCCAATGCCTGTCCTAGAGGGTGCACCTGGAGAAGAAGAGTGCAGCTTGCTCTCCATGACCCCTTTTGTAGGGACTGCCTTCCAGTTAATGGCAATTCCTTTAACGTGTGTGCTCCTTCCCGGGGGGCTGGACTTGGACCACTAGCTTTTTCCACAAAGATTAGGAACGGACTACAGCAACTGACCAGTATTGGATTAGAGCCAACCTATCCCATTACTGGACTCATAGCCATTCCATCCCTAGTAAAGGATGATTTTGCTATTTCAGTTTGAGATTCACATTGTTAGGTATATCAGTTTTCTCCATTCAGAAGTACACAGTTGTGTATATGGCTTCCACTTTTCTGTTGCACACTACTGCAGACATCTTCATTAGTGTTCTCTTCTCTCTGTTTTCTAGGCCTTGATGTATTATTGTGAAGCATTAACCCAGCCTAGTCTCCATCTCCAGAAAGCAGCTTGCATGGCACTGAAATGCCTCAAGGTAAAAACCAGGGAAATCAGTTGTGGTCCTCTACTTTACTCTCTCATGGAAGTTTAACAAAAATAAAATAAAAGATTCTTTCACAGTAGACCCAGCTGAACAAAGATGCACAAACTACAAAGAGACAAACAGCAACCACAAGAGACTTATACAGCATTTGCTGCCACAATGCCAGTGGTGTGTTGACAAACTTGTTAAAACAGTGGTTCTGAACTGGGGCATCACAGGGAAATGACTTGAAAAGCCCCCAAGCCCCATCACTAGGATATCCCTAGTTGCCAAAGCACCTCTGGAGCAGAAGGAAGACTCCTTTCACCCTCAGGCCCGACCCTACTACTGGGAGATCTCCCAGCCCCAACACTAGGTGAGGGGTCCCAGAATCTATCCCTTCTCCTACAAGCACAGACTGCCCCACCTGCCTGTGTCCTAAACAGAACTCCAAGAGTCCCAGTGATCTCAAGCAGAAAAACAGCTCTAAACCTTTCCCATTGTCTAATCCTAACCCCAGCTCAGGCTGATCTACCAGCCCCAGAATGGTACGATTACAGCAACACCTGGTTAAGAACCCCTGATGTAGGCTGAGGCAGCACAACAGTGGCTCTCAACTGGGGCACTGCCAAATTCAAAATTAGGAAGAGGCATGCCCTGACTAAGAAGGCTGGGAACCACTAGCATGGGCAACTGGTGCTGCCTTAGTCCCGCTGATGGGGGGCGGCAGCCGATTGCTGTGATCGTTACAGCTGCTTCTGGGAGTGGCTGCGGCGGCTCCTGGAAGCAGCTGTAGCAATCACAGCAATCAGCTGTTACCCCCTGTCTGGGAGCAAGCACCGGCCAATCACTGCAGCCACCCCTCCAGCCACTTCCAGTAGTGATTGGCTGGTGCTCTCACCTGTCCCCCCTGCCCATCATCTAAGCAGTGAGCGCAGCTGGTCAGGGGGTGCACATGCACCCCCATGCATCTTCTATGCATCGCCACTGACCACTGGGTTAGAATCTTGGTTTCTAAAGCAAAGAGTTTCCATGACAGTACTAATTTGTTTTTATGCATCCATTTATTTGTGCTCTGATGACAAGAAACCCTGTGTTACTGGTCTTAAAAGATACCCTCTGGGCATATACACAAGGGCAGGGGAGGCACTGCCTGTCGGGGAGGCGTTGTAACTTATGGTGCCCTACACAAAGCACCATGAGTTAGAGCACCATTGCACCCAAGAGGTCTTTGCCTGTTGGGGAAAGGGGCAGGGGGTGTGCTCAGAGTCTGCCTGGACCAGCTCAGGCGTACAGATCAGGGGGTACTCCAGCAGCCTCCCAGGAGGCTGCCAGACCATGGCTTTCCCCAGTTCTGCCCCTCCTGCCAGGTGGCAACTGTCAGCAACAGCTGGAGAAGGAGAGGGGAAGAGAGAACCCCCCCCCCATCACGTGTGTCCCCCCTAGCTACCCCTGCTGTAGTCTTGATGGAAGCAAAGACAGGCCCATATGGCAGGAGAGACTCCCTTCCACACGCCTGTTCTCCATGCAAGCAACTTGATAGCAGCAGAGGGTGCTGCGCCTGGAACTGGGGTGGGGGAGGGAAACAGAGCCCCCCCCCCCCCCATTGCATCAGTGGCTCCCCCCAGACAGGTTTTCTGTCTCCTCTCTCTGACAGTCCCAGTCCAGCTCACAAAGCCACATGGGATGAGGGCAGAATCACCCAAAATTAACTCTCACAAGGAACCTGTACACAGGCACCAGTACACCTGTACTTTGCCTTTGAGAGCCCCTATCTGATACTTCATCAGATGATGGTTAAGTTTTTGCATGATCAGCCATTTTAAAAGTGCTCTGCAGCCATCAACATTTGTTATCTTACTGCTTTAGAGCACTTTTGGGGGTCCTGTCATGCAAAAAAAAGTATCTTCTGTCAATGCCCTCTGTCTCCTACTAAGCGAAGAAAACTATTAATCCAACCTGAATACATGAAAGGAAAAAATGGTTGTATTCACAAACAAAAGTATAGCATACATACCCCAAAATACCCTCAGCTGACCTCTCTACCCACCTTTACCCAAGGTGCATCTGCTTGGCTGGGTTTTCCTGCTATTCTTCTCTAGGGAGGAGATAAGAGGATTAGTCTAATGTGTCAGTTATGTTGTATAATAGACTCCTGGAAGGCACTCAGATACTATAGTGGTAAGGGTAGTACAGGAACCTACAGAGAATAAGCAATCATTTTGAGGGAAAATGACATCAAATTTAAAAAAACCCCAAAAAACATAATCCCAGACTTTAAGGCCAAGTCTACATTACAGGTTTCTGTCAGTCATACATGAGTCATGGCTCCTAACCAACATAGTTGTGCCAGTAACATAGATGCACCTATCCAAGTAAAATTCTGCCTCTACAGGCACAAAAACCTGATGGTGCAGTTCTTTTCACACTCCAGGTAAGGACATGCCACAGAGGCTACATTGCCAAAGCTGTGATATTACTGCTGTAGAACAAAGTTACTGCTTGTTCTATCTGCAAAAAGCTTACCAGCTGAGTTTGACTGACTTGCACGAGTTGTGCCAGCATAAGTATTTTGGTTAGAAGGTCAAACCCTACCCCGCACCCCGACACACTCCTAACAAATAGAGCTTTCCAGCAAAAACCCTAAAGTAGGCAAAAAATTTATTGTGCTAGTATAGCTTTTTTTCTATTCAGGGAAGTATTCAAACATAGAAATCAGTGTGCCTGTGTGTGTAGGACGGGAAGAGAGATGTGGAGAAGATGATGTATGTATAACCACACAAGAATGTGGAATGAAAACATAGGATAACTGGTAAAGTTAATACAGCTTCTTTTTATGTTTTCTAGGCTACTGAAAGTATTAAAATGCTAGCCACACTCTGCCAGTCTGAGGATGAAGAGATCAGAAAAATAGCATCTGAAACTCTGCTCTCTCTTGGTGAGTTGCCTGCTCTCTATTTTTTTAAATTGTCTTACAAAGTGTCCATTATGGGTATCCAAGACGACACAAAATTTAAGACAATAAATCAAAATAAAACTGAACCAAGACTCTCCAACAGCTAATAACGTAAAATAACCCAATAAAAAGGACCAAAGAGAAGAAAAAAAAAATCACACAAAACTGGGATGGTGTGAAGAGAATATAAAAATGAGAATGAGTTGGCCCAAGCAGAAATGCCTTGATGCCAACCTGGACACAAATACTAAACGTTCTATAAGCTATTCCATTACTTGGAGCAAAACGTTAGCCCAGACTCGTTAGTGGAAAAGAATACATTATGCGACCCTATTCAATTCCCAAAGGCACACTTGAGACATTAGGCTGACATTAGGCTATATTCATGTTCAAACAAATTACACATGAAAAACAAATGCTAGCAAAACACAGAAAAAATACTGCTTGCTCTTATTTCTTTCATAGGCAAACTTCTTGGTGGCACACAGACTGTTTAGCAATACAGCTGTGCAAACAGCAGCACATGATCACAAACCACACCTGGTTCAATTTTGCAGCAAAGACTCCTTCCTAGCTGTAAACCCTGTACATGTTTTAAAGTGATTAAAAAACAAACAATAAATTCATAAACCTTAGTACAGATCTACTCTCAGAGTCAAGAAACACTTTTAATTTACCAAATCTGCCCCTGCCCTATTTGTTTCAAGTACCCTTTTCTAAGCTCTAGATCAGGAGTGGGCAATTACTGTATTTGGGCCTGAGGGCCACTTTGGGAGTTTTGGTGAGCTGTTGTGGGCCAGGTCAACACAGCCCGCCTCTGCCCCTCAAACAGCTCACCAAAACTTCCTAAGTGGCTCTGCTTGGGCCAGGCAGCAGGGATGGGGTGGAATGGAGCTGTGGGATGGGGACAGGTGGGTAGGGTCAGGGCTGGGGCCAAGGCTAGGATCATGAGGTGATGACAGCGCAGGGCTGGGGCCTGAGACAGAGCTGTGATCTGCTCCCTTCATGCCCTTGCCCATATAACCGGCACCCATGGCAGGGATGTGTGGGTAATGGATTGCAGGTCCTGGCACCTGCTCTGTTACCACCCTGCAATCCCACCCCATGGTTACAGCCCTGCCTGCCCATCCAGGTCCCAGACACTGCTCCCCACCTGCCTGCAGCCCCATCCCATCTGTCTGACCATGTACTCTGTCTGTGTGGATCCCACCTCTGGTGGTGAATTTGGGACAGACAAGCTGAGGTGCCCGGGCAGTGGAGCTGGGACCAGCAACGGTGGCAGCTGGAAGGAGCCACCACTGCTGGGGCTGCCGGAAAGCAAGTCTGCTTCAGCCCCGCTGCACACCTGGGACTGGCCACATGTGCCATGGCCTGGGCTGCCTCCGCCCCTGCACCTGGGCTGGGTGGGACTGAGGGATCTGCTGCGGGCCAGACAAAATCCCTTGGTGGGCCAGATGCAGCCGATAGGCCATATTTTGCTCACCCTTGCTCTAGATGCTTTTATGCTACATCATATAGAATTAAATACCCCAGCTCAATGCTCTCCCTATAAAGTACTCACTCCCACCACTGTCAGAGACATACTGGGCTACATGGACCATTGGTTTGATCCAGTATGGCACTTATGTTCCAATTCTTATTACACAATCAGTGAACTTGTCACACTTGTCTGGACAAGCAAATTTAAAAAAATCATCTCATTCTCCATGCCTTTCCCCTTCAATCCATATCCTGCAAAAATGCCTTATGAAAGCTTTTATATGAAGCAAAAGGATCAGCTAGAAGGCAGCCTTTTTGTGAAACAGAGAATGAAAAAAGTAGATGATGTTTCATTATAGTCTTGCAAGTGACCAAAATGGTGACTACCCAGCACCCCAGTGACACAGAGTAAAAGGTTTTGAGGAATAGTTTGAACATTCGCAGGAGCATTCTGTTTTCCTAACTGTATTTCCAAATTTGGATTTATCAGATTAAAAGTCCTGGAGGAAAAAAAGTAAGCAATAAAAGTAATTCTCCCTAACAAGAAGAAATCTTATTTGCTAAATGTTGTGTATGCAGAGAAAGCAACAATTTATGTATGCTTTACTGTTTTTGCGCTCAGGTGAAGATGGGCGGCTGGCATACGAACAGCTGGATAAATTCCCTCGGGAATTTGTTAAAGTTGGAGGCCGTCGTGGGACTGAAGCTGCCACAGCCTTTTAGGTGCAAGATAACTCACCTACCATTGTCCAGTGAAAAAGACTGGCTTAATTAGCAGGGTGGTGTTGTAATTTAAACTGCCAGTAAAAATATAATCCAACTTTTGAAGCATGTTATAAAACTGTCCTGAAATGCAGCAGCTTAGATTTTTAAAGAAAAAAAGCATGCAAAATGCAGCTCCTGAGTTCCTCTTGGCCCTTTGCCATAGCTTACGATAGAATGGATATTTGCTGAAGAATAATGCAATTCCATCTGCTTCGGAGTGAATGATGAGCCTCAGCAAACTTGTATGAGTTTTTAGAAATCAGCATCTGGATATATTTCACAGGACTTTGTACTATTTTTTGCTGAAGTTGTTGTAAAAGCTTGGAATCTGATGCTGTATCTAAAAACGAGAAGTGGGAGGCCACCCAAGTAGGACTATAGAGCACTGCTTTCTGCATACTAAGCTAAGTGTCTGATGCCTTGGTCCCTCAGCAGCTCTGCTGCAGCCTAACATACCACTCAGCTACTCAGTTCTGTTTTAATAATGAAATATAGAATGAGTTTCTTCAAATCAAGCCTTGCCTCCAGAAACAGCATGACGTAAGCCCCAGGGGATGTCACTTCAGCTATTTGCATTAAATGCCTCTGCTGATCTTTTATTTCCTCTCTCTTGCCCTCAAGTATTGAACCACCATTAATCCAGGGATTTACTTGTGCTATCAAACTATTACGTAGGTTTTGTAGAAATAAATGGAAGGTTAACAGAGCTCATTTTTCAAACCAAGGAAAGGCTAATATAGTACAATTAATTGCATAAATCCCTCAAGTTGGTTTTGTTCCCTAGGTAACAATTAGGAGTGGGTTTCATGCATGCTGACTAGTGGATGGCAGCTTGCTATAGTGTAGTTCCATCATAAAGAACAGCATACAAAAAGGAACTTGAGGCTACAATAAATGCAGTGTGAAAGAAATACATTTTCTACCCATTTCGTAAGAGACAGGATACTTCAAGCTGTTGATTACAGACTTTAAGTTAACAGAAAAAGAGGTGAGTGCAATTTTAACACAAGGGTGTTCCTGTGCAGCAATTTGTTTTACATTGAATACTATTTAGATGTCAATTAAATCATCCAGATTTTGATAGACTTATCTAAGAGAAAGGTTACCAAGAATTCACTTAAAAAAGAAACCTTACACGCCAAATACACTGGCAGACAGTTTTTGACTGTGAATGTTACAATGATGTACATATATCTGTATATTTATAAATATATATATATATATATATATATATATATATATATATTCTTCCTTTCAAATATGTTACATTTGTACAGTTTAAAATGTTTACTTGTTTACCAGAGGAAATAATCCCTTTTTATCAAAGGTGAAATAACCATGTTATGGTTTTTATATCATATCTATTGCATGACCCGATTCTGCCATGGTGTTCTTTTGTACTGACTTTTGCTTATTTTTTTGCCATTTAGTTTTGTGGTATTTGTACTCATATTGCCTGTCACATTTAAGTTATAATAAAGATTATTTTTTAAATACTAAAACATAGTTTTATATTTTGGATGCATGTTTCTATCAGTGGTCCAAGTTTCTCCATACCACCTGAGAATATGTATCTATACTAGGAATTGGGCCCTGAAACTCACCACTGATGACTGTGGCTGCATCAGGAAAAAACTCCTTTGGGTAGAGATATAGAAATCGGAGTGTATGGGAATGTCCCTCACCTGGGGCTAGCTTCTGATGGCTGGAACTGGGGTGAACCCCTAATGCAGTTAAAGCAGTAGTTTATTCCTTGTGGCAACTCTCTTCCAAGAAACAGATATTATGAATATTATGGAGTATAAATGCCAGAGCCTAACAAGCAAGGATCACTGATACATGGTCACAAAGATACTTCATAATACCCTCAAAGGAAGGGGTGATAGCACCTCTGTCTTGTCACATCTTGCCTCAATGACAAAAGTTTAATGATGCAGAAGGCAGGGTAGAAGTGCACTTTATAAAGAAAATGAATCAGCAATGTGTAAGCTTTCTCAAGTTTTCTCACCTCTATCCTGCTCTCTGCCTGACTTCAGACTACCACGGCTAACTACCTCTCTCTTCTCAAAGTTTCATCACGTTAACTTTACAATCAACATAGACATGGACAACTCTTTTTCAGCATCATGTCAGTTAGTCATGGTTTTTACTACTGTCTTAGAGCTCTAGGTTTTTACTATTGATGGTACTGGACAAAGCACCAGCAATACTATAGCAAGTATCTTTCAAGTACATCTAATGGTTCTCAGCTTTTCTAGACCCAAGGCACTCCTCAGAAAATGCCAAAACTTAGTTTTCACTCTTTTTTTTTAACACTATAGATTCCTATTTGAAATCCCTGGGGTTTTTTTAGGAATCATGTTTATACACCTAACAGTCTTAACATTCTGTGGCACCCCTTGAAAGGATCTCAAGGCACCCCAGAGTGCCACGGCATGGTGATTGAGTATCACTGGAGTAGACTGACAAATAAATGCATATTACGCCAAAGTAAATTACACCAAGGTATATGACAGACAAACATTCAGCTTATCCTTGAGTAGCTGCATGGCAAAAGGCAGCTATTACAGTGCCTCATCATCCCTGTATGCTAGGGGAAGATGTAATAGCCTGCTTGCCTTGAGGAAATGGCTACCTTGGGATTAACTGCAGATAGACAGACTCATAGATTTACCCGTGATTATTTCCGGAGTAATTTTCCACTTGATTGGGTGTAATGTTACCCTGGGTTAGGAGTCTGCCTCATCTGTCCATGGCATTTTTACACTAGTATAAATGTATCACCTGAAAGTCTGGACAGATATGCAATACTACAGCTTCTCATGGAACTGGACTGAGCAACTGCAGGATACTTGCTTGCTAGTATCATTGGTCCTTGGGTGGTTGACTGGTTCAGTAGTTTCTAGCTCTCAGTGGGCCAGGGGAAGCTCAACTAGCAAATTGTTTTAATCAGTGAAGCTCAAAATACATACCCAAATGAGGGGAAAACAACAAAGAGGTGGAGGAAGATGGTTAGCCAACCCCAGAGAAGGGTGGAGCTGGTACTCTATATTGCTAGTCTCCATTACCCATCCACAGACTTCAGGCTAGATTTAATTAAGGCCTATAGATTTTTTTAAAATTAAACTAGGCCCTTGTTGTTGGGGAGGGAAGGGACAGGAGAAAACATTAAGTGGCTGGTCTTTGACTTCTGCAAAGTCAAAGAAACCATCTTTTCTATAATCTTTTTAAAATACGAATCTATGATTTTGAAAACCTAAGAGGAGTCTTTGACAACCAATAGAAGCCACACAATGGACCTTGATCAGTTTATGAAAGCGTGATATAATGTGGTGCCTGGGACTTGGCAACCCAGGCAGTCCCTTCCAGTCCTATGTTCTGTTGTTCCTTCCCTCACTGTCCTAAAGTGAGCCTACAGTCCACGTTTCCCAGAGCAGAACTGTTCTTCACAGCACATGCTCTTTTAAAAGAAGAGAAGGCCTCTGCATTCAGATACATGGAGATAATCATGCATTACAGGAAGTGAGCGCATAGAATATTGATTTGATAAGATAGATCTCTTATGGTGTCATTAGATTCCAATTGCAACAGAGATCCGGTTCCATTTTTCATTCTACTGATTAACTGTATTCCAAAGTATTGCCTAGTTACTAACACTTTAACAGTTTCCTTCAAAATTAGAAATAATACTCTGGCTTTCCAGCTACTTCCTGTTTAAATACAGACAATACAGATTTCTGCATTATTAAGGAAGGCTTTGAGGAGCAAGGCAAAGTATGTTTAAGAAACTCAAAGGTTGTTATGAAACTTTCATTAAGTCCCTTTTCTCTTCTGAGGAGGATGAGCCTGATGATTCAACTGACAGTGTTTTTAACAGGCAAAATATTATAGTATATGGCACTCAGCTGAGAAGTACAGAGCTGCCCATGGAGCAGAGAGCCAAAGCGGCAGCTAGCATCGGACTGCTAGCATACACAGGTACCAGCACAAGCAGGGGTGTTGAAATTGAAATTCTTCTTTGCTGTTCCAGGATAATTTAAGCCAGGATTTCGTAAGCAGGGTAAGACTAGTCTCCCACATACAACACCAAAAAGCAGTGTATAAGGACCCAGTGTAAGATCCAAACCTGTTCTCAGTAAAGCCAGTAAGAACATTTTTATCAATTTCAATGGGGGCAGAATCAGGCTATTAGCCCCCAAAGTAACTGAAGCTTGGGACACTGATAAGTTTGAAATGATAATGTACAGGTATGTAAGACATAGACTAAATTCCACTTTGAAGTTCAGCGTTGTAACTCTTAAAATTTGTGGTTGGGCTTTTTATCTTAACTCAAGGATTTGCGCAATTGCATGAGAATCTCAGTTTCAGGTTAAACAAAGATAGGTTTCCAGCCCTTATGGTTATAGAAGAAAGCTTGAAAGAAAGCCTTCAAGGCCAAAAAGCAAATAAATCAACATTTATTATTTGGGTTTGGTTTGAAGCCACTCTAGTAATAGTTGGGGCTAGCAATACATCTACTTTTTATCCAACTGCCTGATGCGAGATCATGCTGTTGTAGATTATACCCTTCAGCAGAAGCTCTGCTCGAGGAGGACTCTTGATGCTAAGTCTCTGGTCTGAGACCCTGGCTTTCCCAGAAATCCATAGCACCAGCATGTCAGAGCGCTCCTTCTTTGCGCAGCTGCCAGGAAGAAGGGTATATGTTTCTTCAAAGAAGGTGGGAGGTCAGAGTGCTGACAACCCAAACAACACAGCGGACAGCTCTGGCTTCAAAGAGCCTTTATTGTGCTACTTCAGCTCCCCCTGTGCTTCTTTGGAGTTCATTCTGTCCTCCCTGGGACTATTTATTTCTCTGTAGTCTGCCCTGCCTGGGACTACTCTTTTTTTTTGTCCTTTCTAGGTTTTTTCTGTCCTACTGTTCTAACTAGTTTGCCAACAAAACTGTTACAAAACTATAGTAGTCAACATGGGGGCAATTCTCAGCCAACAAAATTAAATGTAAAGTCACAGGGAACCAATCAGGGAGCAGCCTCTGTGGCTGAGCCAAGACTTGCCATCTGCCCCTCAGGGGAAAAGGATGCATTGGTGTCCTGCTTATGAAACTACACTAAAGCATGTGCCCTGCCAATGCTGCAGGGTAGAACTTAACCTATTTCATCCCACATGCCATCTCCACAGCAATGAAAGAAAAAAAAACCCCAAAAAGTCAAAGCGCTACAGAAATAACAAGTCATATACAAGTAACAAGGTAGATACTCACCAGCAGGGAGAAGAAAGAAACAGTCAACAGCTACCAGTTACAAAATGGCCACTTTAGAGCAGCAGCTGCTTGGCTCTGCCAGATTTAAAGAACCAACCCTCGGAAAGGCATGCTAGGTATAACCACCTGAAGGCTGGAACAGGAGTTGTAAGAGGGACAATGCGCAGGAAGCGGCCAGTGAACTTCCAGGAAGCTCTATATGACCAATGCTCTGAGTACAAGTGTGCAATATGGTTGCAAGCAGTGGTCTTAGCAAAGGTATCACTGCTACAGCCAGTGGATGAATACAGTACAGCTCTGTCCATGAACAACTGGGAAGACTCGATAGGGATGAAATTGTCAAGAAAAGCATAGCTAGGAAAGGAGCTGAAATAGTGTTTGCTTTTTATCAACATATCCTAGCTATTTTTTTCTTGTAGTTTAGTTTTAGCAGGGTGTTCTCACCACATTTTCTAAGCTGTTGCTAACTACTGTTATGTTTTCCCCCCTTGTGAGGAAAGGAGAGGGGGGGAATAAAAATCATGGAGTTGGAGTAGGCAAAATGGCCAATCCAGCTGGCAGCCAGACTCCATTTCCCAGCAGCCCCTACCTGCATGGCTGAGGCCAGTCTCCATAGAGACCCCAGCTGCACCTGTGCTGTGATAGCACAAGACTGGGGTTCCCATGGAGACCAGCCCCAGCCACGCTGGCAGGACATGTGGCAGAAGGGGCCTGCCCGGGAGCCACTGGGATCTTGCAATGGGGGCAGTTTGCTCTGGAGCCAGGGCAGGGCTACGATCTGTACCCTACACACTCCAAGCAGGGGCGTGCAGACAGGGGATCGCAGCTCTGCTCCTGCTCCAGACCAGGCTGTGTCTGCTGCACGGAACCAGTGCAGAACCGCAATCCCCTCACTTGCACACCCCTGCTCAGGGCGTGCAGGCTACAGATCGCAGCCCTGCCCTGGCTCCAGAGCAAGCTGCCCCCATTGCAAGATCCGAGCGGCTGCAGAGCAGCCCCCTGCCCTGCTTGGCCACATGACCTGACAGCATGGCTGGGCCTGGTCTCCATAGCAACCCCAGCCTTGCACTATCACAGTACAGGTGTAGCTGGGGTCTCCATGGAGACCAACCCCCAGCCATGTGCAGGGGCAGATGGTAAATGGAGTCCACTGCCAACTGGATCCAGCCTGCAGGCCAGACTTTGCCTGTCTCTGTCATAGAGTAACATAGAGGTACCTGTGCTGGCTTTAAATAAGTTAGCTCAGGTCCTAGAAGCAGCTTAGAAGCACATTGGATAAATTACCCTGCACTGAGCACTATGATGCATTGGCAGGATTGCTTCCACTACCCTCGAGTTCCAGCAGCAAAGACAGCCTAGCGTAGAAACAGCTATAGTCTGCTCAGCAGAGGTGGGTTGTAAAGGGACTCTATCTGGACTGCAAAAACTTGGATCTTGATTAAAAGTGCTGTGTGCTCTGTGCTGCTGCTTGCAGCCATGCGGTACAGCATGTGCTTCAAGCAATTCTGAAAATCTCCAAGCATGTGGAGCTTCCTAGTGTCACCCTTTGAATCATCTTCACTACAACTTCTGTTCCAACCAGCAGGTTGTTACAGGTTCTGCCAGCACAAAGATCTGAGAGTAGATGCACTCAAAGTTTTGACTGTGTAACTTAAGTAGAGCAGAGTAGCCACAAGTATAACAGCTGGGGGTTATGGAAGGTATCCTGCATCTCCCTGACCTGCACACCTTCCCTTGATGAGAACGACTAATGGGTCAATACTGTTGTTCTTCCATCAGCCAGCCTCTGTTCCAGATTACATGGCTAGTCAGAAGGCATGCGGAGTAGACAGCTGGGATAGGATCCCCGAAATGACCACCACTGCTATTATTCAGTGGAACTACTTTGACTGTGCTGCAGGCAAAGTGGGATGGTGGGGAAGGTGGAGAGAGCAGCACTATCTCCCATTAGTATATCTCACTTTGGAAATCACTCAGACTCAGAGCACAAAGTACCATCTCAGTATTCATGCCAGGGCCAAAGACTTGAGTCTCCCTCAGGGCACAAGTAGCCTTTGTTAAACTGTACTTTGCCATTGCCTTAAATAAACAGAGAAAGTAATAATGTGGGATAAATATTTTCTATACAAGAAAATACTGTCAGGGTCCGACTAAAGAACAACAGAATGTGAGCAGCAGGATGGCTCAGCAGGTTCTCAAGCCATCTGCTCTCCACTTCAAATCGAGTTCTAAAAAAAAAAATCTCAGATGACCCTCAAAGAGCAGCAAACAAATGTGCACAGCATCCTCCTTGCAGAAATGGCTGGTTGACATATTTATTTGCGTGCAGTCTGCACAACAGGCAATAGCAGATAATAACAACGTGTCAGGTGTAGGCAGCACAGTGCCAAATGCTGAGTGATTCCAAATAGCTCCTCCAAGAAGTAATCGTTACCATACCATAACACCACGTCCTTGGTGTTACCGCTTGCATAGCCTGGGGAGTTATGTTTAAACCCTCATTTTTTACTTGGCTTATTTGCCAGTAAATAAGCCCATAAATGATACCCCTTTAAATGACTTTCTTTCCAGTTTAGATAAAATAATCGTCTACCAGCTTCGTGCTGAGTCCATGTGTGGAGGCTTCCTGTTGAAATGTCTGGCATCTGAGGGAGTTCTAAGTCTCCATATGACAACACTGAAGTGTGTTAAAACACTCAAAATCTCATCCTCATCAGATCACAGGCATTTTAAGTTAGAAGTGGTAGGGCCCAGTATAGCAGCAGATGGGCCTCAGTTCTATGAAAGTAATGGGATACTTCAGTGAAAGATTGGCTTGTGGCTCTGAGCAGTGTCAGAGGAATCAGTCAGCTGGCATGTTTAGGTGTACAAAAGTTTGCCTGCATTTTTGAAAAGCAGGCCAGATCCCAGCACCAGTCAGTTTAAGTTCTTTCTGCACTCTGACCGGTGGTCAAATTGTTTCTCAGTTCCTGTCCTAAGGAATGTTGCTTTATGACTGTCCCTGGCAAATAAAGTAGTTCCATATACATTTAATACACAAGGTACAAACATCCTACATGTATAGGAATTAGATACATGCATGCATGCATGCATATTGTAACTATAAATATTATATTAATCATGAAACAAACAACATGACACTGTTGTGTATATACACAGACATAATGCTGTTCTCTGTGATGCTCCTCATTCTGTCATTTGCCAATGATCTCAAGTTGCAGCAAGAGAAGTTTAGGTTAGATATTAGAAAACCTCTCTCATGAGGAGGGTAGTAAAGCACTGGAACAGACTACCTAGAGAGGTTGTGAATCTCCACCCCTGGAGGTTTTTGAGACCCGGCTAGACAAAGCTTTGTCTGGAATGATCTAGTTGAGCAGGGGGTTGGACTAGATCAGGGTTACCATACATCCGGGTTTTCCCGGATGTGTCCTCTTTTTGGGTCCTCTGATCTCCGCCTGGGAGGTTTTGTGAAATATGAACAAGTGTCCAGTATTTTGCTGGTAGAACTGAATTTCCCAGCTTGCCCTAGCAGCATGCATGTTTACCAAAGATCCAGGTTTTCCACTGGCTGCAGAAAAACATGGATTTCCCTCTTTACAGGAGGAAACTGTGGGTTTTCCCTTGCAGGTTGATCACTGACCATCATGGCAGGGGCACTGGTTATACAGTCTATACATTTGACAGCCCCTTAACAGAGGTTGAAAGTAACTAGGAGGGGATAATAAGCCTGTGTAAGCACTCACTGTTGCAGTTAGCTGAAGTGCTGTTCCATAACCTGTAATTGACCCGATACTTAGCAGGATGAAGTGTTGTTTGCACATTTGACTTTGTAAAGGTGTTACTTGGTGCCTGATAGCCTCTGTTGTTCTGAAACAGTCCAATTGAGTTTCCCTTGCCAGGACTGATATTTGCAATGCTTAACTTCTTCTCTGAGTTCCTAAGGACTGTTTTTCCTAAAATCAACTGCTGTATATACATGTAAATTAATACAGTTTAAATTGCCTAATTCAGATTGCCCTAGTCTGCATTAACTTTAATCCTCATTCAACAAGGATTAGTTAATTCAGACTGCAGCCAATTTTAATTTTGACATCCATGTGTATATAGTTAACAGCTATAGTCTGGATTACACCTAGAAAACTGTACCATCTATAAACTGCCTTCAATTACAGGTGAGCCAAATGCTGGAACATATGCTTCAGAGTATATTCAGGACCTATATGATATCTTGCTGCTGCCAGATATTTCAGCCAAAGTGAAGATCCTAGTGCTGCAAGGGCTGGCTGGTATCTGCTACATAAATTACAACAACCAAAACAAAGCAAAAGACTTAAATCTCACTGATGCTGTTCTTGCTTGCCTTGATGAAGACAAAGATTCCTCTTCAGATAAGCCAGAGGGCATCTTGGTTAAATCCTGGACCTGTTACTTCCTGACTGTCATGTGTTACAACAATATCCCTTACATTAAAATACTTCATGAAAAGGGAGGTGAAATGCTAGAAAATAAGCTGGAACTCCTGGCTAGCTTGGACTGGTCTAGTTGGCCATGTAATTATGCAGAATTATTATCCTCCCTTCTAGGGTTTCAGAAGTCTCAAAATACTTCCAATACTTAAAATGTATCAGCGCTCTTGAGAATTGTTATAATCTGAAGCTAATTGACAATCATTTACATGGCATAATAAAAAATTAAGCATGTTAAACTGAATGCCATTTTTCTTTTTCCTCCCCATCTCCAAAAAACTAGTCGGGAATTAAAAACTAACCTGGTCTAATTACCTATCTAGGTACATAAATATTGAGCCTTATCTCAGCCAAACCTATCCTGTGCTATGCAGGTTCAAGAAACTTTACAGCTGCCAACCTTACCTTGCTCTTGTACCTGGGGCAAAGATTTATAGTGAAGATAGAAATTCGCCCTTAGAATTAGACCGTGGTCTTGAGAATGTAAGGCCAGAGGTTCTGATTTATAGAGCACCCAGGTTTTATGGATATGCATATAAATAAAGGTGCAAAAGAACAAACAACTTACACACCTACAGCCAAAACTGCCATCCTCCAAACCTCTGCTTACCTGCTGTTAAACCTAAAAGGAACCTGAAGTCTGGAAACATTTTTTTGTTTGTTTGTTTTTGCATCAGAGCTACCTAAATGCCTAGAGTTCTGCTTCTGCACTTGCCCAGAAAACCTGAGTCTTGGCATGACTGAGCAGTCGAGGACCCTTCTCAGAACCATCTCCAGGGATCCACAAACTAGATATTCCTCCACCTATCTTGCTTGAGGGTTTCAATCTGGCAGGCTCTCAGAGCATGTCTAACATGGTGACCTGCATCAGTGGTCACTGTGGTTAGAGAACTCATCCAGGATTGGAAGCTCTAAGCTTGAGTCCCTTGGCTATCTGAAGGAATTCCAACCCACAGCTCTCATTTCCTAGGAAAGGGTCCTACCCACCAGGGGGGGGGGGGGGGGGGGGGGGGGGACACATTCAAGAGTCACTGGGCCACAGAATGGGAGCAAGACTGCACAACTTCCAAGCTGCAGATTAGAGTACTTACCTGGGAAGGGAGTGTTTGGAGTCCAGTTCCTGCTCCAAGGACTGTTTATGTATTTTATCCAACAACTGTTTCACATGAAATACTGCAAGACTACATTCTAGAGTTAGGCATGTGCTAAGCTCAGCAGAGGATTTCAGACCCTCTTTAAATCTCGTTAGGTGCCTTTATGCATTCTCTGGGGGCACATGTGCTCTAGTTAAAACTCCTGCAGCGTCTTGTGTATTCAACATCCTGCGGTTCAAAATGGCAGCAGGGGTGCTTTAACTAAAGTTCATTTGATGAGCTTTGAAGAGCCCCCACTGCTATTTTGAAGAGAGGGGATACTGAATACATGAGACATGGAGGCTGATGGGGTGCATTAATTAGCACGCTTCAGCGCAGCACAGCCATGTCCCTGCACATCTACAGGCACCAATAGAGTACCAAAGGCCTCCCTTGTCCCAATCAAAAATCTGCCATCATATACTCCTACAAACCTTCTAATTCAGTACTCTATGCAACATAAAACATTTCCCAAAGAAGGCAACCCCTATTCCCCCACTGCTGTATTTGTATTGGATGTCCCATAAAGCAGAAAATGCTTTGGGAAACTTTCCTATGAAACAGTTTCTAACTCTTTCCAAGTATGAAATAAAGCTTCCTCACCAATCAAGGAGCCTCCAGCTTGCTGGGAACTAAACTAAACAACGTCCAAGAAGTTTTAGTTTAATGCACCAGAAAGACTTTTAAAGCATCCAGAAATCCTTCTTGTGCAAACAAGTCACAGTTGCAGCACAAAAAAGGGCAAAAAACTTGGCATGTACAAATGCCCTAGATACTTATTTAGACAACTACGGTCCTATAATGCCATGAAAACTCAGGCGCTCAAAATGTTAATTATGGTTCCCTCCCTTTCCCCTATCCCTTTTAAAGAGGGTTTTATTTTATTTTACTTTTTTGCCATAACACTACTGTTGCCCTGACCTGGTCATATCTTTTTATTGCCAGCCTTAGCCTAGGCTAGCCAATACGTCTTTGTCTTAGAATTACAGGAATGATTATAAATTATTGTTCTCTACTTGACTTGCTCTTGAGCTGAAAAGCTTTGAATAGGGGTGGACTGATCAAGATTTTCTTGGCCGATACCAATAGCTGATTATTAGGGCAGTGCAAAGTTTCGGTTCCTGAGTCGATGCGGCGGAGATTTGGCCCGATTCAGTAGGCCAATGTGAATTGAATATGAACTGCTTCGCACACCCATACTGATCATTAAGTCAGCCATTTCCGCTGATACTGATCCGAGAACCAATTTACAGGAATGCAGTCCAGCAGCTAGAGCAGCATCCTGCCCGTAAGTCGGGGGGGGGCGTGAAGAGAGGGGCAGACTGGGGCCCCCACAGTGATGGAGAGAGTGGGGCCATGGTAGGGGCAGGCGCTACCTAGCCAGGGCACTGAATAAGTTCCCAGAGTTGGGATCAGGATGGAGCCATCACCCCACCTAGCACCACCCCTCCTTGGGACATCAGGGCTCCCAAGAGAAAGGCAGCAGAGCAGAGTGCCCCAGGCAGGGCCAGCACTGTGGGGAGGGGACCCTCGAGCTATGGCCACCTCAAAATTCCCTGTAGCCCACCTATACCACCCCCTCCCAGTGCCACTGCCACCTGCCCCACATAGCTGAGCCTTCCCTGGCCCAGCCCCCACACTGGGAAGAGGCAGGTGCCTGCAGCCCACCCTCATCCTGCACACAGATCCAGGGGGACACAACCACCATGCCTCCCAGGGGTGTGAGCAGCAGCAGCAGCAGCAGGGAGCTGCCCCACCCTCACCCCCTGGATGAACTACCCACAGTTCAGTCCCACTCCCAGCCCCAGAGAACATTCACTACCCTACCCAGGCAGGGCCTGCTCCTGCCCCACTCCCTCCCTCACTGTGGGGGGGGGGTCTCAATCTGCCTCCCCCCCACGCAACTTACCAGCAGGATGCTGCTCTCCAAGCTGCCGAGCTGCATTCCTGGCTGTGTGCAGTCACATGACATTTATTGGTGACATTTTCAACTGAGATAAAAAAGCCGATTATGTTAATTTTCCTGTTATCGGTGCTGATCTGATATGCAACTGATATATCGGTGCACCTCTAGCTTTGAAAGATAGCCCATAGAAACTTCACTTAGGCTGTTAATTTATAGACTATTACTATGGGATACACATTTGTCTTGAAGAGCTCACAAATGGTAACTAAAAGCAGTTTGCATAGTTGGACCTTTCAAAAGTTTAACTTTTCAAACTGAGTGTCTAACATGTTTCCATCCTCCCTTTAGGTAAGGGTAACAAACTATCCATACTAGTACATAGGATAAATCAAGACATACTCCAGTGACTGGCCCACCCACTCAGCCTGATGTAACCCAACAACCCAGATCTGGGCAATTAGCTTTAAGTTTTTTTATTTTTCATTAGCATTTACTGCAGCCTGAAATTTGGACCTCACCAAGAAAAATGAAATTGGAGCTCAGTTGCTAGTAGAGAGTCATAGCTCCTTAATAGTATTCATTACTAGCAACTGCTTCCACCTTTTATTACAAGAGTTTCTAGTTGAATTAACCATCTTTTTAAGTATGGGAAAAGTTCTAGTGAATTCCAGAAGTATTTTCATTCTTTACCGAAAAGTGGATGTTTAGACCTAGCCATCATAGTTGGTGTACTGCATATGCTTTAATGACAAGGTCCTGTAAATACTTAGTAGCAGTAAGTAAACAAGTTTGTTCTAGTTAACATATGGGCCACATACAGGGTAGTTCAGGCATCTCGCTAGAGCCAAACATATTAAGCCGTCTTGCGTAGGAGGCCATCTCCAGTTGACCAAGCTGTAAATGGGTATTTGTTCACTTGAGCTGAAGATCCATATACAAGCAGACATTAGCCACATCATTATCCACTATCTTGAGGAGGAGTGACCTTCTTCACACTTATCCAGTAAGCCAGTTGCTGGTTTTTTTAAGTTTACGGTGCAGTAGCTTAAGACAAAAGGCAGGTCAATTCTACTCTATAGAGAACTTAGTGATAGGCTCCATTCCACAGCACTTACAGCAGGGGTTTCCAACCATTTTGAATGTGGGGCCAGATAAACTTTTTATCACACAGTGGGCTGGGGAGCCATATTCAAAGACCTCACAGGAAGTGGTATCACATCAGGAAGTGATGTCACATGACCTTTGGCACCAATGAAGTTGCAGGAAGTGACAATGAAATGGGTCTAACCAGTTCAAAACTCCCCCTCTATAGCATCCACCTCTGCCACTGTTTGGGACAGGATACTAAGCTAGATGGACCATGGGATTGACCAAGCATGGCACTTTTTATGCTCTTATGTTCAAAAGCTTATATGTACCTGCGCTGGTGAGTCCCAAGCAGCACACAGCTCCACCGCCACCTCTGCTGGCTGGTGCTGACCCGAGCAGGTCTGTCCCATCCGGAGCAGCATGCAGCTGAAGCTGGCTTCCCACATGCTACTGGGTATGGAAGGAGCCCAGCCGGGTT